TCTCTGCCCAGAAATTCTTATGTCCTTACAAGACAGCATCGGAACAAGGTCTTTAATTTTACTTTTCCCGGGTTTATTGCTTGGGCCTTAATGTTATTTAACAGCAGGGAGCGTCAACCAGTTCCATTGCGAAGCTGGACTTAATTCAAAATCGTTAAATCTGGTGGAAGCTTTTTCCCCTTGACAAAGACATCCTGGTGCTTCTCTGACAAAACGTGGGAGTCGTGCCCCCCGGGACAATGGAAGCAGCCAAATTTGGAGGGGCAGAGCGGGGACAGGGAGACAGCACTCCCTCCTCCTGCAGAGATGATGAGAAAGCAGGACCGAAGGCAGCGGGACGTGACGATGCTGAGCACTGCTGGGACAGCCTGGAGCAGGGAGGCAGCAGAGCCCATCGCCCTGGGCTCCTCTTTTAGGCTTATCTGGAAAAGCAGATGTTTTATGGCTCTCTCTGTTTTGCCAAAATGGTGGTGCAAGCTCTAAACAAGCCTGAGAGCTGGGTAAGATGCATGAAGGTGGCTGGGATGTTCACGACGCGCACCGTCATAGTTTAAGGGGTTTAATCTCATGGGCAATGGTTTAAGACAAGCAGTACCCTGACACGAGCCATCTCTAGGAAACCTCAGGGCTGCTCCAAGATGATGGTGGTGATGAGCTTCCTCCCAAGTCTTTACAGATCCTCTAATGTTTGTTTTATCGCTTAGTGCCTAAAAAGAGAAGAGGGAGATCCCAGTAGCACCGGGCTCGTTGGAAGGGGCTGTTCTGGGCCCTGCCCAGGGCGTACAGCAAACACCAGCTGGGACCATCACTGTGAGACCCTGTCCCCTGCCACCCGTCTGAACAGCCACCTGGGTTTTTAAAGGACTGGCCAAGACGCCTCAAACCTCTCCACAAAGCTGCACAAGCGACTTTCCTCCTGGTTCCTCACTTTGGCCATGCCAAAATCTCACCTTTTGCCCCTTCTGCCCTCTCCCCACGAAATCCAAATGGCTCCTCTTTGCCTTGAAGGTCCCACAGCTCTGCTCCTCTCCTTCCTCACCTCTAATTCACCCCTAAGAGTACGGGGAGCATTTGGGATAAAGCTTCAAGAATGCATTTGACATAAATTATTATTCCCCTTCTAAACGGATTACAAAAATCCTTTTATTACAAAATATTAAAATGTTCAAATTATCGGTGTGGAAAAACGTTTCCTGGAGGTAAAGTTTTTAAAAATTGAGGTTTTAATCATGAGCATAATCCTTTCTGGCTAACGTTTCCAGCCTTGTGAAACATCTAGATACAAATTGCGCAGAGGCCTGGCTGGGCGGCGAACAAAGGAAGATGCTGCCTGTAAATAGCTCAGAGGACATCAGAAGACACTTCTCTCATCAGCAATCTTTTTTAGCTTAATATAGCTCCTCTTTGCATAAAACATTGACATTTTTGCAATGTTTGGGCCCAATGGTGCGAATGCTGATTGTCATCCGAAGATACTAGAGTGTACCTTCAAAAATATGCAAGAACATTTTACAGACAGTAGTTTTACTTGCCTCCAAAATGCTGTATCTTAATATTTCATACTTATATATATTTAAATGTTAGTACCACCAGATAAATGCTAACATGCTTTTATGCTAATGCAATCACTGAAAATCCAGATAATGTTGTGTATTGGCATATACTGTTAGTGAATTATGGATACCTAAATGTACAATCCCACATGCCTAGCAATTATTTTTGTTAGTGCATTTAACTTTTATTTGCAATCAGAGCACTTGAGGATTGTTCAAATGAAGTTTACTTTTGCAAACTGCTGAATAGAAAACATTTTGTTAAAGGTTTAAAAACAGTAAGGCTGTGATGAGGCTGTGGAGCTGCAATAAGGGCACCGCTCGGAAAACTCCACCAGATGGAACGATGTTTGATTTGGTCACAGACTCGGCAATTAAAAGTCAAATGCCTGAAATGAAGGACATATAAGAGAAACAGGAGATGAAATCTTGATTTCTTCTGTGTCGGGTCACCCTCTCCCATGGCAGAGGCTCACAGAGACGCCGGGAGGAGAGCACCCGTGCAGGCAGCACCCTGGCACACAGACCCTGGGACCCTGCGCCTGTGCTGAGGCTGCTTTTCAAGTCCAGTTTAAGCCAAAAAAAATACCAGGAGAGAGAAATCCTGAGCTGCCCCTGCTGTGCCTTCTCCTCCTCCTGCCTCTGCTGATCCAACATCTTGGCCAGCACCTGGCCCCTTGGCTCAAGACACCAACCCACTTGAAAACCCCTTTGTCCCGCACTGGTTTTTGTGCGGCAAGACCTGGGAGATGCAGCCGGTTGCTCCATCCCTTTCCTGCTTCTCTACCCAGTCAAGAGTTAAGGACAACATGAATCTGGAGAAGACCTGGATATTTTTAAGAGTTGGAAAGCTCTGGACGTGACCCAGGCACGGCAGCCAGTGATTGTCTCCTGCATAAACCAACCTACCTCCAGCCAAGGCCAAGCTCCCTCTTTCCAGACTCAGCTGCGCCAGGAGTTAATGACCCCCCGGGCTGAGGAGCTGCTCTGATCGTGCCCTGATTTCCCTCTGGGAAGGTCTGTCTGGCTTGAAACCCCTGTCCTGAGCCAGCCTGGCCAGAGAGAGCTGGGAGGTGGCCACAGAGCCATTTGGTGAGCAGCAGACCATCACCTCCTGCCTGGGCACAGCTCAGCATCCACTGCAGGATCCAATGCCAGCCCCAGGCACACGACTACGGAGCAGATCGTGCCTCCACAGCCCAGTGAGCACCTCTGGGCACTTACTGGGAAGTCCTACCACCTAAGTGAGGTCCCCAGGATCAGCCACGAGTGAAGGAAATAAACAACGACCCCTCAAAAACACAAGACATCAGAAAATGCTCAGCATGAAGCACTTGAAATGCCCCCATCAGTTTAAAGGGAGCAGGGAGTAAGCTGAGAAAATGTATGAACAAAGAAATGAAGCAGCCAGCACAGGGCAGAGGAGCTGGCGTGTCGGTGTCTATCGAGGAAGCTTAAGCACAGCAAGGGGAAGGAAAGCAAACCCCAAACCCAGGAATAATTTTCCTCACATTTTGGAACTGAGCTCTCAGACAATACATCATCCAAACCACCCAAAATTACCATCTGTCAGAACGTCCTTTAAAGAAAAAAAAAGGTCTAAAAGTTTCCAGCGTAGTATTTTAATACTGTCATATTAGAAAAGAGATTGTATCTGTCCAAATAAAGGCATTTGCAATTAAAGTGAGGACTAGCAAACAAAAGCATTACTTTTGTGGCCACTGCTACACGTTCGTACCATGAGACAAGGAGTTTCTTGAGTCTTGATCGTGCCACGTGAGCTAAACCCAGAACGAAGCAATTTGATAGCCCCCGTCATTTCATGAATTACCCCCAAATGTTCCCAGGCCCTCTGCATGATTTTCTCTTGAAGAAACACGTAACTAAGAGTCTACATGCCATTAACGAACCTAAGGAAACAATTACAATATTGTCTCAAACATTAAAATACGCCACAATATGAAGAGTAGCAAACAAAAGCATTACTTTTGTGGTCACTGCTACTCGCTCGTACCATGAGACAAGGAGTTTCTTGAGTCTTGATCGTGCCACGTGAGCTAAACCCAGAACGAAGCAATTTGATAGCCCCCGTCATTTCATGAATTACCCCCAAATGTTCCCAGGCCCTCTGCATGATTTTCTCTTGAAGAAACACGTAACTAAGAGTCTACATGCCATTAACGAACCTAAGGAAACAATTACAATATTGTCTCAAACATTAAAATACGCCACAATATGAAGAGCGGGTCGGTGTTTCGGACGTGAAAGAGTATCTTATGGCCATCAGAGTCAAGCTCTGTTTCAGAGCATAAGCCAGACCCTTTCTGGTGCAAACCTGGGTACTCACTGCTGTCCATGAGGCCATTTTACTTCACACGAGCGGGTCGGTGTTTCGGACGTGAAAGAGTATCTTATGGCCACCAAAGAGTCAAGCTCTGTTTCAGACCATAAGCCAGACCCTTTCCTGGTGCAAACCTGCTGTCCATGAGGCCATTTTACTTCACACACACTGCATCGTATACAAGATGGCAAAAGAAATGCAGATTTGTAGACTATATTACACTAAGTGATAAATAATTTATAACAGTGGAGAAGGTGACCGCACTGTTAGCCATAGAAATATGCAGAGAGAATGCTCCTGGCTGTCTATATTCACTCTGCACTTCTGACCTTGAAGTTTGGGTCCATCCCATGCATTTCTAAAGCCTCTGCACCTGTGAATGTGCAACACACACACACACCACCAAGCCCCCAAACCAAGAAGGGCACCAGTAAAACCCACTGAGCCCACAGGGTACCCCCAGCAGCACTACATACCACACACGAGGACAATTGGGCTCCTTCAGGCAGCAGCCACCATCTCATGAACCACAAACATCCTTTAGACCAGTCTCTTCTCAATTCAGCCTGTTCCTAACCCTGTGTCTGGTCAACACCCTCTTGGTGTCAGAGGCACACATCCATGGGGCTAAAAGTCCCCTGCAAAGACCACGGGTGTCGTTATATTTCAGAAATCAGCACTTTGCTACCCTCAAGCAGCCCAGGAGAAAGGAACAGGAGAGAGAAAGGTGCTCCCTGGGGTGCTCGTAACCACACCATCCTCTAGATCTCTCCCCGGAGAGGGCTGTCAAGGGGAGAGGAGGGGAGCCAGAATCACTCCCCTTGGACCTTGTGAAAACAAGGAGCCCAGAGGAATCCAGAAACAATCACAGCTTCCCCACTGAATCACTTCTGGCTGAGTCTAACAAGCAGGATGAGGGTGCACAGAGGAGAAGACCGGGGTAAGTGGCGCTGAGAGGAAAGGGCTTGGCAGGGGAGAAGACAATTTGGTGTGTCAGAGAACGAGAGCAGCTTTCAGCTCCAGCTCTGAGAAATAAATCAAGAGAGAGGAAGAGGAGCACAGTCCCCAGGTTGTCACCCTGCCACCCACGGTGGGATGGAGCTCACCTGGAGAGAGCAGCTCCCAGGACGAAGGCAGCGTTCTCCTTCAGCGCGGCCTCTGTGCTGTTCAGCCCCTCGATCACGAGCTGGAGCCCACCCATGGAGAGGAAGTCCTTAGCGTTGTCCACCTGGGAGAGAGCAGGTCCCCATCAGTACAGAAACCCCAGCCAGCTTCCACTCAATTCTTGGAGAATGTCGTGCTTCAGAAAGCACAGCATCTCTTCCCTCCCAGTCTCACCAGCGCCAAGTTTGAAAAGGAATTAAAAATTAAGAGGGAACGACGGTGGCTTGAATTTCGTACAATTCTGTCTCTGAGCAGTGGATGCCATGGTTTCAGAAGCAGAGTTTACTGCTGGGTTGCCATTATCACACGCAGAAGGCATTGCTGAAAACTTAAATACTTCAATTAGCTCTCAAAACTATTCTTGACACGTATTTCGGTAAGTCAGGTGATGTCAAAAATTCGGTAAATCTGATGATGTCAAAAAAAACCCCCAGTTCTTTGCTCTCTTGCCTCAGCAGGCTGTTACTGGAAACCCAGGGAACTGTGTGTTTTGTAAATGCACTTAATTAATTGATGCTCTAATTGTAGCACCAGGAGTTAGGAGTGTTTAAGAGCCTGTCGGCAGCTTTCCTCACATTTTGGAACTGAGCTCTCAGACAATACATCATCCAAACCACCCAAAATTACCATCTGTCAGAACGTCCTTTAAAGAAAAAAAAAGGTCTAAAAGTTTCCAGCGTAGTATTTTAATACTGTCATATTAGAAAAGAGATTGTATCTGTCCAAATAAAGGCATTTGCAATTAAAGTGAGGACTAGCAAACAAAAGCATTACTTTTGTGGCCACTGCTACACGTTCGTACCATGAGACAAGGAGTTTCTTGAGTCTTGATCGTGCCACGTGAGCTAAACCCAGAACGAAGCAATTTGATAGCCCCCGTCATTTCATGAATTACCCCCAAATGTTCCCAGGCCCTCTGCACTTCCCGGGTTTATTGCTTGGGCCTTAATGTTATTTAACAGCAGGGAGCGTCAACCAGTTCCATTGCGAAGCTGGACTTAATTCAAAATCGTTAAATCTGGTGGAAGCTTTTTCCCCTTGACAAAGACATCCTGGTGCTTCTCTGACAAAACGTGGGAGTCGTGCCCCCCGGGACAATGGAAGCAGCCAAATTTGGAGGGGCAGAGCGGGGACGGGGAGACAGCACTCCCTCCTCCTGCAGAGATGATGAGAAAGCAGGACCGAAGGCAGCGGGACGTGACGATGCTGAGCACTGCTGGGACAGCCTGGAGCAGGGAGGCAGCAGAGCCCATCGCCCTGGGCTCCTCTTTTAGGCTTATCTGGAAAAGCAGATGTTTTATGGCTCTCTCTGTTTTGCCAAAATGGTGGTGCAAGCTCTAAACAAGCCTGAGAGCTGGGTAAGATGCATGAAGGTGGCTGGGATGTTCACGACGCGCACCGTCATAGTTTAAGGGGTTTAATCTCATGGGCAATGGTTAAGACAAGCAGTACCCTGACACGAGCCATCTCTAGGGAACCCCAGTGCTGCTCCAAGATGATGGTGGTGATGAGCTTCCTCCCAAGTCTTTACAGATCCTCTAATGTTTGTTTTATCGCTTAGTGCCTAAAAAGAGAAGAGGGAGATCCCAGTAGCACCGGGCTCATTGGAAGGGGCTGTTCTGGGGCCTGCCCAGGGCGTACAGCAAACACCAGCTGGGACCATCACTGTGAGACCCTGTCCCCTGCCACCCCATCTGAACAGCCACCTGGGTTTTTAAAGGACTGGCCAAGACGCCTCAAACCTCTCCACAAAGCTGCACAAGCGACTTTCCTCCTGGTTCCTCACTTTGGCCATGCCAAAATCTCACCTTTTGCCCCTTCTGCCCTCTCCCCACGAAATCCAAATGGCTCCTCTTTGCCTTGAAGGTCCCACAGCTCTGCTCCTCTCCTTCCTCACCTCTAATTCACCCCTAAGAGTACGGGGAGCATTTGGGATAAAGCTTCAAGAATGCATTTGACATAAATTATTATTCCCCTTCTAAACGGATTACAAAAATCCTTTTATTACAAAATATTAAAATGTTCAAATTATCGGTGTGGAAAAACGTTTCCTGGAGGTAAAGTTTTTAAAAATTGAGGTTTTAATCATGAGCATAATCCTTTCTGGCTAACGTTTCCAGCCTTGTGAAACATCTAGATACAAATTGCGCAGAGGCCTGGCTGGGCGGCGAACAAAGGAAGATGCTGCCTGTAAATAGCTCAGAGGACATCAGAAGACACTTCTCTCATCAGCAATCTTTTTTAGCTTAATATAGCTCCTCTTTGCATAAAACATTGACATTTTTGCAATGTTTGGGCCCAATGGTGCGAATGCTGATTGTCATCCGAAGATACTAGAGTGTACCTTCAAAAATATGCAAGAACATTTTACAGACAGTAGTTTTACTTGCCTCCAAAATGCTGTATCTTAATATTTCATACTTATATATATTTAAATGTTAGTACCACCAGATAAATGCTAACATGCTTTTATGCTAATGCAATCACTGAAAATCCAGATAATGTTGTGTATTGGCATATACTGTTAGTGAATTATGGATACCTAAATGTACAATCCCACATGCCTAGCAATTATTTTTGTTAGTGCATTTAACTTTTATTTGCAATCAGAGCACTTGAGGATTGTTCAAATGAAGTTTACTTTTGCAAACTGCTGAATAGAAAACATTTTGTTAAAGGTTTAAAAACAGTAAGGCTGTGATGAGGCTGTGGAGCTGCAATAAGGGCACCGCTCGGAAAACTCCACCAGATGGAACGATGTTTGATTTGGTCACAGACTCGGCAATTAAAAGTCAAATGCCTGAAATGAAGGACATATAAGAGAAACAGGAGATGAAATCTTGATTTCTTCTGTGTCGGGTCACCCTCTCCCATGGCAGAGGCTCACAGAGACGCCGGGAGGAGAGCACCCGTGCAGGCAGCACCCTGGCACACAGACCCTGGGACCCTGCGCCTGTGCTGAGGCTGCTTTTCAAGTCCAGTTTAAGCCAAAAAAAATACCAGGAGAGAGAAATCCTGAGCTGCCCCTGCTGTGCCTTCTCCTCCTCCTGCCTCTGCTGATCCAACATCTTGGCCAGCACCTGGCCCCTTGGCTCAAGACACCAACCCACTTGAAAACCCCTTTGTCCCGCACTGGTTTTTGTGCGGCAAGACCTGGGAGATGCAGCCGGTTGCTCCATCCCTTTCCTGCTTCTCTACCCAGTCAAGAGTTAAGGACAACATGAATCTGGAGAAGACCTGGATATTTTTAAGAGTTGGAAAGCTCTGGACGTGACCCAGGCACGGCAGCCAGTGATTGTCTCCTGCATAAACCAACCTACCTCCAGCCAAGGCCAAGCTCCCTCTTTCCAGACTCAGCTGCGCCAGGAGTTAATGACCCCCCGGGCTGAGGAGCTGCTCTGATCGTGCCCTGATTTCCCTCTGGGAAGGTCTGTCTGGCTTGAAACCCCTGTCCTGAGCCAGCCTGGCCAGAGAGAGCTGGGAGGTGGCCACAGAGCCATTTGGTGAGCAGCAGACCATCACCTCCTGCCTGGGCACAGCTCAGCATCCACTGCAGGATCCAATGCCAGCCCCAGGCACACGACTACGGAGCAGATCGTGCCTCCACAGCCCAGTGAGCACCTCTGGGCACTTACTGGGAAGTCCTACCACCTAAGTGAGGTCCCCAGGATCAGCCACGAGTGAAGGAAATAAACAACGACCCCTCAAAAACACAAGACATCAGAAAATGCTCAGCATGAAGCACTTGAAATGCCCCCATCAGTTTAAAGGGAGCAGGGAGTAAGCTGAGAAAATGTATGAACAAAGAAATGAAGCAGCCAGCACAGGGCAGAGGAGCTGGCGTGTCGGTGTCTGTCGAGGAAGCTTAAGCACAGCAAGGGGAAGGAAAGCAAACCCGAAACCCACGAATAATATTCCTCACATTTTGGAACTGAGCTCTCAGACAATACATCATCCAAACCACCCAAAATTACCATCTGTCAGAACGTCCTTTAAAGAAAAAAAAAGGTCTAAAAGTTTCCAGCATAGTATTTTAATATTGTCATATTAGAAAAGAGATTGTTTCTGTCCAAATAAAGGCATTTGCAATTAAAGTGAGGAGTAGCAAACAAAAGCATTACTTTTGTGGTCACTGCTACTCGCTCGTACCATGAGACAAGGAGTTTCTTGAGTCTTGATCGTGCCACGTGAGCTAAACCCAGAACGAAGCAATTTGATAGCCCCCGTCATTTCATGAATTACCCCCAAATGTTCCCAGGCCCTCTGCATGATTTTCTCTTGAAGAAACACGTAACTAAGAGTCTACATGCCATTAACGAACCTAAGGAAACAATTACAATATTGTCTCAAACATTAAAATACGCCACAATATGAAGAGCGGGTCGGTGTTTCGGACGTGAAAGAGTATCTTATGGCCATCAGAGTCAAGCTCTGTTTCAGAGCATAAGCCAGACCCTTTCTGGTGCAAACCTGGGTACTCACTGCTGTCCATGAGGCCATTTTACTTCACACATGCTGCATCGTATACAAGATGGCAAAAGAAATGCAGATTTGTAGACTATATTACACTAAGTGATAAATAATTTATAACAGTGGAGAAGGTGACCGCACTGTTAGCCATAGAAATATGCAGAGAGAATGCTCCTGGCTGTCTATATTCACTCTGCACTTCTGACCTTGAAGTTTGGGTCCATCCCATGCATTTCTAAAGCCACTGCACCTGTGAATGTGCAACACACACACACACCACCAAGCCCCCAAACCAAGAAGGGCACCAGTAAAACCCACTGAGCCCACTGGGTACCCCCAGCAGCACTACATGCCACACACGAGGACAATTGGGCTCCTTCAGGCAGCAGCCACCATCTCATGAACCACAAACGTCCTTTAGACCAGTCTCTTCTCAATTCAGCCCGTTCCTAACCCCGTGTCTAATCAACACCTTCTTGGTGTCAGAGGCACACATCCATGGGGCTAAAGCCCCCCTGCAAAGACCAGGGGTGTCGTTATATTTCAGAAATCAGCACTTTGCTACCCTCAAGCAGCCCAGGAGAAAGGAACAGGAGAGAGAAAGGTGCTCCCTGGGGTGCTCGTAACCACACCATCCTCTAGATCTCTCCCCGGAGAGGGCTGTCAAGGGGAGAGGAGGGGAGCCAGAATCACTCCCCTTGGACCTTGTGAAAACAAGGAGCCCAGAGGAATCCAGAAACAATCACAGCTTCCCCACTGAATCACTTCTGGCTGAGTCTAACAA